CGGTTCAGGCCCTCCTCCTGCTCGATGCTCTGCTCAATGCCTGGGAGAACAGATGGATGCTGAGCCGCAATCGGCCCCTTCACCACCACCCCCTCTCACACGGGGGTCTGGCTCCGGACTTCTCCTGGGGCCTGTGAGTGGTGAGGACACGGGGAAGAGCCAGGCCCTGAAGGAGAAGGGGCCAGAAAAGGCCCCTCCAGCTACGATGCGTGTGTACGTGTGTGCCAAGCTGTTGAGGCCGCAGACACATGAGCTGCGTGTGTGCATGTGCACCTGTGCGCTAGACCACCCTGTGCCTCTGTACTGCTCCCTTTCGGCTTAGAAAAGCTGGGCACATGGGCCATGCCCAGATAAGGAAGGGTCAGGTGGCCACTACCTACCTACAGGGCGCTGGTCTGCAGGCCCAGGCATTGGTGGGGTGTGTGTGGCTGTGTTCATACAAGTTACAGGGGCTGCTATATGGGACCAGGAAGTGTTGGCCACTTGTTAACCCTCTGAAGAAGTGAGGAATAGCATCCTTGCTACTTGCTACTTGCCAGAACACAGCCCTTCCTCTGCAAAGCTTCAAACATCCCTGTCCCCGGGCCCTGCCGAGAGCCTGGCACTAATGGGCCTTGCCAGGGAGCTGCTGAGTGGACAGACAGGATATCACCCTCAGAAAGAACAAAAGAGCCAACATACTCACACAGGGTTAGTGAAACACCACAGGCCTGCTCCCCTAACCACCCCCAGACAAGGCCAGGAGCTTGACTCACTCTTCAACTTGGAGCGGACTTTGTTCGCTGTCTTCTTTATGTCGGACATGAGTTCTTCCAGCTCCTCCTTTGTCTCTGGGGAGGTAGGAGTGGGAGGTAGACACCCTGGTTCCCCATGCCTCATGTTCACGCTCAGCCTCATGTGCAGGGGGCCAGGGGAACCCTGGGTCTCCCCTCTCTTCCTGGCAAAGGCTCTGGCCTGCCCTCCAATTCTGGGCCAGGCCACACCAGCTGCAGCCTCACCCCCTCGTACTGCCTTCCAAGAGTCTCTTTCCTCCTTCGCTGGCTCCCCCACCCCCTGTAGATAACAGATGGGTCTAAATTTAAGGCAGAAATAATTGTGGAGCAGCTGGTGATGCTGGGGTTGGCACTGGGGAACGTTTACTTGCTACTTGCCTGAATCGAAGGTGGGGGTGTAGACTCACCTAGCATTACCTGGAGACTTGGGGCGGGGGGGTCAGCAGCCAGCCTGTGGGCTGATGGGGGCTGGAGAGCTAGAAGCCTCCTCCCACTCCACATTAGTTGAGTCACAGCTCAAGTTCCCGAGGGTCGGGAGCAACTGGCCTGGGTGGGAGTGGGTGGAGGAGGTTCAAGAGGGCCCCTTGGGCACAGTCAGCCTCAGATGTGGTAGGTAGGGGGCTCATGAGAGGAGAGGTGGCATAGTGCTTCTGGCCCTCATTCTAACTAGAGCGATCTCCCAAACATGGCAGAGGCCATGGTGCCTCTCACACTGAGAGGGGCTGAGGGGTTGGCTGACAAAGTGGGAAAAGCTGGCTACTCCCCACCCCCTATGCTCCTGGCAACACCCTAGCCTCTAAGCAGCTCCTAGGACTCCGCCCTAGAGGTGGGCCTGAGCCCCTGGCTGTAACCTTTCCAGCTACACTTTCTGCTTGAGAGGGGGGCCTGGGGAGGGGTGTGGATGGTGGTCTGTCAGGAAGGCCCTGACAGGTCACCTCCGGAGTGGGATGGGGGGGCTCTGCGGAGTGGAGGAGGGAGCCTCATTCTTCCAAACAAAGGAAAACTTGGTTACCAGCTGCTCTGATGTCTCAGCCTCTTTTGCTCAGACCCAAAATAGCCCAGCCCGGATGGCAGCCCCCAAAAGAGGCAGAGCAAGCCTGGCCCAGGAAAGCCCCCCACTTGCTGCCATCTTCCTTTGTGATGCCACATTAACGTGGCTCTGTCCTAGAACTCCACAGGGACCCCCCCTGGCCCTACTGGTGAGCACTGGGTGGCCAGCCAGGCCCTGACTGCTCAGCTCTCGATGATGATTCTGATTCCATCCCTACTGCCTGTAGAATGCGCTGGGACCGGGGTGAGGGAGCCCCAGGGAGGGGGCTGAGTGGCTCCGTGGCCCCTGCCCTGCCTGCCTTCCAGTGGTTGAGATGCCTGCCCCCTCATTTTTATAGGCCACCTGCTGACCCTTAGCAAGAGCAACCCACCCAGAAACACAGGACACCTGCCATCCCAGGCACATCTGGGAGATGTGCCAAGTGGGCGATCACACTGGGTATAGCCTTGCCCAGGGTGGTCCCCCTCTCCCTCCTACCCTTCCTGGGACAGCCCCTAGTTCCCCCTGACTCATTTTGCCTTCCAAGGGTCGAGCACTGAGTTCAACTGGAGTGGCATAGGCACACTGTGGGGCTGCAAAAAGATTTATTCTGGGTACATGAGGATGCCAGGAGGCTTGGGGGTGAGGGGCCAGGGATGGGGAGGCAGTGCTGGAGATGGGGATAAAAGCCAACCTTGGGCACCTGGACGGCCAGGCTTTCCCCTTGAACACTTGGGCAGCAGCTAGGCTGCAACTTTCCCCTGAGCTTTCTCATGGGCCTCCTAGGCTGGAGCCTTCCAAAGGCATCGGAAAAGCAAGAGGTGAGCAGGCCTCTAGACAGGCAGGCAGCCTGCCCCGCCTCCCTCCCCTGGGCCAGGCACGGCCTCCTGGGGATGAGAGTGAGCCCCCATGCAGGGGAGGGAATCTCAGAGGGCCTGCATGCCCTGAGCCTGGCCAGGTGTGGCGATCAACAACTCAACAGAACACGAAAGCCCAGCCAGGGGGACCTGTGTGGGGACAGTAGAATGCAGACAAGCACAGGCTCCCTGTGCCAAGGGAGACCAGTGACTTCCTGGAGCCATGAGAATGCCCAGCTCCAGGGTACCAAGTGGCCAGGTTCCAGGGCTGCCAGCTCTCTCCGGAAGCTCTGCCCGCTTGGTCGGCCTGCCCTCCCACAGCGCTGACGCCTCAGAGTTGCCATCTGCTCCCCAGGGAGGTGCGGGAAGGGGAGGGGCTGGGTGGAGAGGCCTCCTATTGATGGAGACAGCTTCCTCCCTCCCAGAATCCCAGGGCTGTAGCCAGCCCTGCCGCCTTAGGAAAAAGCCAGCTCACCTGGGGAAGGAAGGACTGGCACCTGACCCTTCCAGGCCCAAGGAGGGCCGCTCCTTCCCACAACCCATGAGCCCTCCACCCCTAGCTAGTGACACTGGGCGCTGACCCCCAGTCTCAGGCCTGGGCCGGCTGTGTTGCCCCAGGCTTCTCATGGAACCCTCCCAAGCTTAGTCTGCCCAGGCACTCCTGGGCCTGCCAGCAGTCAAGGGTGCTGGGTTTCCAAGGGCCTTCCCTGGTGGCCCATAGGCTGGCACCTGTCTGTCCCTCACACCTACACACTCACTCTCGTCGGGGTTGGGGGAGGCCAGGATGGCACTGTGCTTCCTCTTCACCTCCTCCACATTCTCCGAGATCTTGTCAATGAAGCCCCGGATCTCCTCCACCTGGGGACCAAGGCCAGGCGGTCAGAAGAAAAGCTGGGGACCCAGGGCTTGCCCAGAGTAGAGCTGAGGTCAGGGCTCAGGGAGAAAGGATGGGCCAAGCTTCAGGTGGTGGGGCAGGAGTTGGGGTGGCTGCTCCAGTGTCCTAGATGGGGATAGGGAAGAGCAGGGAGTCCAAGTTTCAGACTTTGCTCTGCTCTGAGCTTCAATCTATTCACCCTTAAAATAGGCTCACTGGTTGGGGTCTTTGGGCTGCTGAGCCAGACCCAGGTAGGTAAGAAGTGGCCACCCCAGGTCTGGCAGTGCCCGGGGAGATGAGGTGTGCTGGCTCCCACCTGCTCAAAGAACTCATCCATGAAGCGGTCTCGGTCCACGGTGACAGTGACGTCATCATCATCATCGCTGTCCTTGGCCTACACAGGGTTGGACACATGTAAGTGGCCTGTGGGAGGACCACTGGGACCCCACTGGACCTGGGACGCAGGCACATGGGAGGCAGTGCCATGGCCCGACCACCCTCCTCCCTCCTGGGGATGCTGCTAGGCAGGGACAAGAACAGGCCTGGGTGTACCCTCTGGTCTCAGCCACAGTGAGACCAGCACAAGGAGACAGGCCTAGCCTATCAAGTTGGCGAGGGGGCCAAGTCTCCACCTGCAGGCCAGGGACTTCGTCTCTACAGTAAACCACAGGGCTTTGTTCCCTGGCCATAGCCTGTGAGCCTGAAGTCTGCTTATGGGTTGAGTGTGTCTGTGACTGCCTGGACCCTCTGGGTCACCTACACCTTGACTAAGACAGGCTGCTTGCCAACAGGGTTCTCCATTCTTCCGTCCAATGGTTTTAATTCAGATGGCGGTCCCAGCCCTCTTCCTGGGGGCCCCTGCAGAGGGAGGCCTACCTGCTCCATCCCGGGCACCACCCAACACTGCCGCAAGAGGTAGGATGGCCCAGACATGAGGCTGCCCAGGTGGGGCTCTGTCAGGTGTCAGCTTTGCCCAGTGAGGTCTCAGGGATCTTCTCTCTCCCTGTCATGTCGGCCTTGACACGACCTGGATCCTCCTCCCTCCCAGCAGGCATGCAGGGCCAGTCTTGGCTCAAAACTGCCTTCAGCTGCAGCCCCGGAAGCCACAGTACAAAAGCCAGTCCCTGCTCTTGGGTGGACGTGTAATTATCCTGGACTTCCCAGGGTGCCCATCACGGTCACTACTGTCTGCCCACACCTCGAGTTGGTCTTGCCCACTGGGATGGCAAGGCCAAGGTCCACTCCATACCCAGGCAAGGCTACCCAGGTGTCCACCCTCAGTCACTGTCACCCCTCAGACTGGATTTAAGGCCCAGGCACACCCCATTTCTCAGTGCCCCACATCAGCGGGTGCTGCCTGGGAGCTCCCTTGTCAGGTCTGAGGCAGGCAGAGCTGAGAGGCTGGGAGAGTTGGCATAGCTCAGACATCGACGTGAAGGACTTCGCTCTGGGTCTTCACTCTTCTGTGAACTGGGGACTGTCTTCTGCCACTGTAGTCCCCCATGATCCTCCCAGCTTTCCCCATTCCCTCCTCCTGGGACGCTGAGTCTGTGAAGTTGACACTCCCCTCATCCTTAAATGTCACCTCCTTCCGGAAGCTTCCCTCAACCCCCATTGGTACCTGGGGTTGCCTGAAATGCCTGGCTGCAGGGAGATAAGGCTGTCTGTGCCCCTGGGATTCATGGGTCCTATTAACCCACCAGAGTGGGGACCGAGAGGGAGGGAGGTAGGAAGTTTTATGGAGGGGCTTGGAGGTGCTGTTCTCATCAACAGATTCCACCTCCTCCCCCAGCAACTAAAGTCCTCACCCTGACTCTCAACAGTGTCTGCGGCTGCCAGGTTCCCCTCTGCCACCCCAAGCCCACCACAGACACCAAGAATCTATGAGCCTTTTACATTCTTTTTCAACCAAGCCAGGTCCAAAAGTTGAGTAAAAGGAGCACTTCCTAGGGAAACTGAGGCAGAGTATGGCCTGGAGGAGCCCTGGTCCCCCTCCTGGGAAGCTGCCAGGTTGGGAAGTAGTCCCAGGAGTTCCTGCCATTCAGCGTCCTGCCTGCTCTGTCCTGGTGCCCATAGGACAGAGGTAGATGGACAAGGGTGGGGGAATTTTCCAGCTCCTCTCCCAGAGAGAGGAATGGCCAGAACTGAGTCACAGTGAGCCCTGCTGTCACCTCCGAGCCCCCTGGGAGCTAGGCTGTGCCTCTCCTGGCCTCAGCTTGCTCATCTGGACCACAAGGACTGCTCTTCCCCAGCCAGCTCTGATCTGCTACCTCCACAGCCTCCCCAGGGAGCTTCTCCAACAAAAGGTCACCAGGGCCGATGCCCTAGCCCTCCATCTTTCAGGGTAGAGCTGGGGACGGGGAGATCCAAGGCCAGGTTCCACCCTGGAAGTGGCAGTCCACTTGGCCCTAAGCAAAACCTTGAGGGGGCCAAGGGGCGGTACAGCCTTAACACAGCTGGAGCTGGATGGGAAAGGCCCTGGGTTCATGTTCTGGGATCTCCCTGAGCTCCCTGGGTGCAAGTCACGTGCACATGCGTGGCTGGGACTCAGGCTGGTCAAGAACCGGGGGTGGACGGTGGAGTGGACCCTATTGGGGATGACTGTCTTTCTCAAAGGAGAAAAACAATGGGACCAGCAGTTAGCGTAATGGCTATGTCGCTGGACTCCCACGTAGTCGACCGTGGTTCGCGTACTGGACCCGGTGGCTTAAAACTCACGCTGGGCGTGTGTGCGTGCATGCCCAAGATCCCCAGAGGAGAATGGAGAAGGGATTGCGGTGTGACCATCCCTCCTGGGGGGTGATTTCTCGCTTTCTGTCTCTATGTCTCTCTCTGTCTGGTGAGCGCACGTGCCCTATAGCAAAAACCTCTCCCCCGCCCAAAAAAAACAAAAAAAAAAAAAACAAAAAAAGCTCACGCCAGGCACGTGCGCGTGCGTGCCCAAGATCCCGAGAGGAGAAGGGATTGCGGCGTGGCCATCCCCCCTGGGGGTGATTTCTTGCTTTCTGTCTCTCTGTCTTTCTCTGTCTGGTAAGCGCACATGCCCTATAGCAAAAACATCTCAAAAAAATAATAATAATAATTAACACACAAAACAAAAAACCTTGAGGGGCTGCTCCTAGAGGACCTTTCCCAACCAAGTCCTGCTGCTTCCTCCTCAGGACTCCTCCCTCCTACCCCTCCTCTTCAATCCTGGCCTCAGCCTGCACCTACAACTGCCTCCAGCTCGTAGTCACCCGTGGTCCCCCCAGCCTTCCCCCTTCCGTCCTCCTGGAATGCCAAGTCCACAAAGCTGACACCTCCCTCATCCTCAGATGCCACCTCCTTCCAGAAGCCGCTCCTTAGCCACTGGTATCTCACTCCTCTGGTTTCCCCCAACACACTATTCACATCCCTACAGCCACAGCCCCCCCG